CTTAAGGACTGATTCACAAATTCAGATTTCAACAAGGCTTACTTTTCCTGCACGATACAAATAAATGGAAAGAACTGTTATGTACCATGGTAGACAACAGAGCAATTCAGACAAGTCTGGTTTTATAAGATGCGCTGTGACAAATCCAGGTACGTAAAAACTGTGTCATGTGACTTGTAGCCTCCCTAGCGGTCTGATTATGTCCATATTTCTGTGCTCAAAGCGGTACATTTTTTTGCATGGAAATATGCATTTTTTTATTGTAGGCCTGTAATTTTTAGGAATAACTCACTGAAATCTGTCCGAACAAGAGTCTAGTAAAAATCCCGATTATGTTAAAATTTGAAACACAAAATCATAAATTATAATTTAATAAATCATAAAAAATCTAATAATAAATTTAATTCAATTATATAATCAAACCAAAAACACTGAAATTTGAAATATAGCGCCAAGTTTGCACATCACTGAGCAAAGTCGCAGAATCGTTTTCAGTGTCTGATGATGAATTGCCCTACAAATCATTATCACTCAATTCTGCAAGTGGTTCTAATTTACTATCGCTGTTCTCTAGCTGGTCTAAAACCGCTTTTGACCTAAAGGGATGCTTTTTGGACGCCATGGACATTTCTCAGTTTCCAGGCAGAAAGAACGGTAAAAATGCGAAATGGTTTGATACAGCAATGTTTTACTATGTGAATTTAGTGAATGTCACTTTTTACAACTTTCAAATTTCCCGCCAGTTCCGTCCCCGTACGTCCAGACGTTGCAGGGAACGGAACCCAGAAGACAGATGCCGGCATCTGTCTGAGGACATTGCAGGGGACACTGCAGGAGGGACATCGCAGGAGCGAAGGACAAGGTAAGTGAAGAAGAGATCCCAGAGCAGCGCTGTAGGGTATTCCGAACTGTAGTGTAGTTTGAGTGTGGTAACAAGGCGTCTTAGGTGACTGCCTAACACTAAACTCTGCGTAAAGTTTACTTAAATGGACATATACAGTAGTCTGAGCATGATGCATCACCATGCATCTTACGTAACCAGACACACCTGAATTACTCTGCAGTTAAACAGAAACAACTGTTATATTCTATTGTAGGCAACAACGAGCAGGAAAAATAAGCCTCATTGAAAGTCTAAAATGTGTACGAGTTCTTAGAGTGTTTACTTTGTCCAATCAGGTGGACCACATCAACTGAGCAAACCTTTGCCTTTGAAATTAGTACTGTTCTATTACTTGGGGCTCACAAAGTCAAAAAAGCTACAATAGCACCTGCAGGCAAGTGGAAAAGACCATTTATTACTCAAAGGGCCTGGATTGGCACGCTTTTCTTTGTTTTAAGTTACAAGTGTCTTGGAATGCAAAACTCATTTGAGGGCTTGTTCACACTATAGAAATGCGTTCCGGATGAGTTTCCCCATACACGCTTGATGAGTTTTTGGCATGTTCCGGTGCATTTTCGATGCAATCCAGTGCGTTTTCACCCTCTTTCTGCAATTTTAAATAGGAACATGTGCATTCCAATGTGTTTTTGGTGCGTTCTGGTGCATTTTTAATTTGTTTTACCGCGTTCCAGTACAGTTCTATGCAGGAAAAATGCAGCCTGTTCTACATTTTTTTTTTTCTGCATCCGGAACACACTGCAACTGCAAGCATTGCTGTGAATTAGGACATTGACAACCATATACCCTATGCTTTTTGGATGCAGAAAAAAAGCAACTGAAAAGCATGTAGTGTGACCGAGTCCTGAAGCAGGTCAAATGCAGGTCAGGAGGAGTTCAACTGTTGGTCAAATGCACCTGTCAATGAATTAGGAATGATTTAGGCTAGGTTCACACCTATGCAGTTTGCATTTGATCTGTTCTGCAGTGCCTTTTGGGGTGTGTTCTTGCACATGCGTTTTTGATGTGGTTTAATTTTTCTTATTTTTGCCAACTTGTTGCTCGGCAGAAAGGCCCTGGGGAGTAAAAGGGAGATAGGGAATAGATACATTTAAGTGGAATTTGTGTTATACGATGTTTGATATAAAGTGGATTTTGTATTATAAAACTAATAAAGATCTAATAAAAAAACAAAAAACAAACCAAAAAAATGAGCCAGGTGAAAATGCGGAGATGTGAACGTGTCCCATAGGAAATCATGTTAAATGGACCATTTTGAAAAAATGGTGTAGCGCTGTAAATACTAAAATACCATATTGTTAAATCATAATATAAATAATATTAAAGTGAAAATATTAATAAACATTGTGTATCCCTTATTACGTTAAAGGTGAAATACATTCCAAAGCAAATATAAAATCAAAGTGACAAATTATAAAACCGTGACATATATCAATTGATATAAATAAATAAAAAAAAGTCCCAACAAGTGAAAAAAAAAAATGATTATAGCACAAAAAATTATAGAATATAAAAATCCAGATTTTTCAATTCTTCAACTTTTATATTCCCACTTTTTGTTGCGTGCTCATATTTATGGTTCCAATTATATCCATCACCTTCTAGTGTGTGCGCACACCTCAAAAATTCGACCCTCAAGGAGTCAGAGCAATCAATATCCCTAGATGATCCCTGGTTGGATGGATCTCTCCCTTTAAGTGGACACTGGAACAGGTCCCACCGAAATCATATAAACGATCAAACACATCTTTAAGTGGTCTTCAAATGGCTCAAAAAGAAGTCAAAGATAGAACTTCCATAGTGTAGTAATTAGATATTTATTTAAAAAATTCAAAAACAGCCAAATGGCTACTCACATAACAAGGGTCACAGACCCAGCAGGCATGTACTGTGTAACCCACAGTCAGGTGTACATACAAGGAGTCCCAAGATGGAGATTACCGTCCAAACATAAATTACATCATCACGCTCTATCCCTACTAGTTACGTCACGCTAACACGTGACTTCTTCAGGGCTCAAATAGGGTTGTACATGTCCCAGCTGTGGCAAAAATGAAACCCCTTCAAGTGAATGAAGCCATGGTGCAACTGCCCTGCAACCATGTTTGTGGCCTAGTGGTGTGAGCTTTTGAGGCTTAAAACAGGCAGTGTGGAGGTGACATAACACAGCTGACTGTCAACCACTTTTTGAAAAGTGATTTACAGGTATTACTTCTCAGAGGGACGACTTAAAAGTTGAATATTAAACATCTGTGCATGGCAACAATAATCTTTTATCCTTTATGTTCAAGGCATATCTGAACAAGCTTAAGATAGAAGTTGATTAGTTATTATGCAAAACTGCTTCATAATCTGCCTGCTCCACTTGAAATAAATCCCCCAAAATGTATCCTTTTTCTCTATTCATTGGAGAAGGAGTACAGAGATGTGCTTTACAGCTAGTGATCACTGCGATAGCCAGTCTCAGGCTATCACAAAAATCATGCGATCGGGAGCTGATCCTCCTGACTCCTAATGGTTAGGATGAGACCAGAAGCTGTCAATGGTAACTTGGTTTCCGTGCTTTTTTTGCCTTCCTCTGGATCAACTAGGTATAAGATTATAATTTTTTTTTTTTCTATGGTTGAACTGGCTGGACTTTTGTCTTTTTTCAGCCAGACTAACTATGTAACTATGTGCTGGGGGTGTGGTATGGAGCATGCTTCCACTACAAGCACAGGTGCGTATATATGCGCAGCCGTGGAAAAAGGCCCACATCCATGATGATACATATATGTGTGAGGCAGGTGGCAACAGGTTAAGGTAGAATTTAACCTGTTTTTTTTTAAAAATCTTACACACTACTATAAATCAAAAAATTAAATTAAAAAACAACAGGAGTGATATAAGTAGCTGCTATAACACAAATCCCTGTCTCAAAAATGGGCAAATACAAAATATAAACCTGAAGAAGTGACATGTTAGCATAACGTAACTAGTAGGTATAGAGCGTGGTGATGTCATTACGTTTGGATGGTAATCTCCATCTTGGGACTTCGTGTATGTTCACCTGACTGTGGGTTACACAGTACATTCCTGCTGGGTCTGTGACCCTTGTTATGTGAGTAGCCATTTGGCTGTTTTTGAATTTTTTTTAATAAATATCTAATTACTACACTATGGAAGTTCTATCTTTGACTTCTTTTTGAGCCATTTGAAGACCCTTTAAAGATGTGTTTGATCGTTTATATGATTTCAGTGGGAGCTGTTCCTGTGTCCACTTCAAAAGGGAGAGATCCATCCAACCAGGGATCATCCGGGGATATTGATTGCTCTTTGACTCCTCGAGAGTCGAATTTTTGAGATGAGCGCACACACTAGAAGGCGATGGATATAATTGGCACCATAAATATGAGCACGCAACAAAAAGTGGGAATATAAAAAGTTGAAGAATTGAAAAATCTGGATTTTTATATTCTGTATTTTTTTGTGCTATAATAATTTTTTTTTTCACTTGTTGGGACTTATTTTTTTCACTTCTTTATTTATATCAATTGATATATGTCACAGTTTTTATAATTGGTCACTTTGATTTTATATTTGCTTTGGAATGTATTTCACCTTTAATAAGGTAATAAGGATACACAATGTTTATTAATATTCTTTCACTTTAATATTATTTATATTATGATTTGACAATATGGTATTTTAGTATTTACAGCGCTACACTATTTGTTCAAAATAATTTTTTTAGCTCATTTCCTTTGGGTGTTAGCAGCTACTTCATCCCTTGTGAGGATATTTGGCAGCGCAGGAGTCCACCCCCATTTAATTGATATGTTAAATGGACTGTAGCGCGTTTCTGCCAAATGCACTGCAAAATGCTTAGGTGTGAGCCTAGACTTTTCTTTGTGCTTCCAACGGATGTAAAACTGATGCTGTTAACACAAGCCATCAACACAGGCCCTTAAACATGGAGAGCTTTTATTGAATACTAAAAGTAACAATGTAAAAAGGTTGTTTAGAATATCACAAAGCAGCCAGAAATAACACTTTTTCACAAAGACCTAACAAACAGGTATTACACACACTTACAGCAGCAATTGAAGGCTTTTTGCCATCACCAGCAGGAGGGGTGAGTAACATCTGCTCCTAGGAAGATCACAGGTTGTTGGAAAACAGACGGTCTATGGAAAATCCACAAATAAATGAAGAATCTTACATTCACATACAAACAATTTGTGAACAGGTTCATTAACGAGATATAGGTTAAGAGTGTTGCTGCCCTTTAGCTGTATACGTTTCTGTGTGATTGAAATATAAACATTCTGGAGTTCACCAAAGCTACCAAATTTAAACTGTGCCGGAGAAGCTCTAGTGTAATTTGAATTTTCAGTATAGGAAAACAAAAAAGGGGATTAAGCGCACTTAATACTACGCACATTTGTTTTTGTAAATTTGCTGTTTAAGTCCAAAAGTAAATTAAATAACTAAGTGAACCTGTGCCTAGACCATACATACTATAGTATTTACAGATTCTGAAAAAAACAGTAAAATCACTTTAACACATCCCTCATTTATCTCTGTAGGTACAAGCATTGTGGCCAAATTTGTGTCCAAAGTTCACAACAGAGTAACTGAAATCTTAAATTAAGCACCCACAACTGTGGACCTAGCATTTTGCCTTGCAGTTGCAGCGCAGCCTCATTCGCATGGCAAAATTTCACTTCAGTACTCCAAACGTGACATGTGGTATCCTTTTTGCCACAGCTAGGTCATGTGTACCACTTCATCCGGCCAGCATTGCAACATAAGGGTGAGGCGGTAATACTGCTGTTCAGCCGCCTATTGTTAACGCTCTCCCCAATGGCCCATGTGAACGAGCATTAAGTGCTGTAACACTGACAGAGCTAATTATCTAAAATAATCAGTCAGCAAGTGACAACACTGGCATCTGGGGATGGCAGAAGAGAACTGAGAAATGGTTGAGGAGCAAGCCATTGATCTTCTACTGCTTTGTTCAGAGTTGTTAGTGTCGGGTTACTAGGCAACAGGCACCTACAGATTTGAGTAGGGCATACCTGCAAATACCCATCCTACCCAAAGGCTGCATTGAGACTGCCAATCAAGACCTTGTGTTGATGTTACAGTGATTAATTAGGAAGCATAGTATGCAGAAATCAAATGTTGATTCAGTACATGGGTGTGGAGGGGGAGGCTTAGAAGTGTTATTACCCATTTCCCATATTTACACTTTAAAATGGCATACTGGTCATATATTATGCAATTTATTCTGCAACAGAAAGCTCACTCTGCATTATGAAAAAGACATACTTTTGTATTTATAAACATTAAACAAGCTCAGTTTCTTGCAGGTTGAGGAGAAAGTGTGGCCAAACAAGGGACACATTTAAATGTTCACACAAAAAATAAAAACATTTTCTTACCGTTGGTGTGGAACTAAGATATTGTTAATTCCTCCCAATTTTACATTAATTTTTAGGCACAAATTTGAAAGCGTTTGAGGAGATGTTTTTATTACATTCTTCACTTGGACACACTGAGTAGCCATACCCAGCAATGTGTCTCCAACACGCTTTACCTCCGCTGAATAAGGAAAAAAAAAAAATTGTGAACAATAATTGGTGGTATAGTAAAAAAAACTAGTGAATCTCAAATTTATGAATACTTTTATAATACCAGCCCCAAGGAAACAGCGTCAACAAGATACCACAATAAGTTTAATTACTAAGCAGCATAAGTGTCACCATCTGGTTTAATCAAGCAAAAAATTTTAATCACATTTTATCTTCTTTGGATCATCGGCACTATGATTAATTTAAAGTGTAACTCCTTTTGTGGGAAAAAATACGGAAAAAAAAACAGCATATACAATTGTGACACAAGCCATATTGTAATTTGTTATTAAAAATTAGGTTTCGTTTTCAATCTGCAGTGTTGTAATTTTATGTAAAATTCAATGCACTATGGCAACATGGAGGAGTTCTGTACACAGATGGTGTATGGAATGCCCCCAGAGATATCTATTTCTGCTTGTGCGGTTGGCTCACTGATATTCACACAAGTCTGCGCTAAGACACAAATTTTGGGCATCCTCAGTAACAAAAATGTATTAGTGATATGCTCCTAAAGGGTTAATAACGTCTAAAGCAATGCAGACCCTTAAAGTGCATCATCTGATGAAAAATGTCACTTCCAATCAGAATCAGGCCTGTGAAAGGCATGGTCTAACAATGAGCTATTCCTTCAGAGAAGAAACAAGTAGGAATTCTGCAACAAAGTTTGTTAAAATCTTTGCATTGTACACAGATCACCCAGTAAGATTTTTTTTTTCTTTTAACACATGGGGAATTATTCTTTAACTTTGAACTATAAAAATTAGGATATGCAAACAACTTCATAATGCATGTGATCTCCTTCTAAAAGTTAGTAGAGACTAGGACAAGACTTTGTTATTGAGACAATGCAGAAAGGCTTAGAACTTTTGTTGGATTTTCAGTGCTGTATGTGCAGCTGTTGGAGAGTTTGCACTTTATTCCTATCCCAGCCTCCACACAGAAATTAGGAGAACTTACTCCTGCCCTACTGTATGCAAAAAACCTCTATATGAATGAGTAGTAATGTAGAAAAGGATTTAGGAAGCTAATGTGCATATCTAACTCCTGTATGATATCTGCAGCAATTAACTAAATTTAAATAAATAAATCCGCTAAATTTAAAGGATAAGTTTACCTTTGGGAACATGTTACATGTTCTGCTAATTCTTAGGGGACCTGCAGGGCATCAGCGATGTGGAAGAGTGAACTTATCCTTTAAAGCATTTCCTGCAAACTGTGCCACCCCCCGAAAATAAGAAAAATTGTCAGGTGAAATTCTTTGGCATGGGAACATTAGGAGTGCGGATTTATGAAATTGGTAACAAAGAAGCCAAATCTTACTTTTCCCCTCTACCTCCAAAACCTTCTTGCTCACCTGGTGCTCTTGTTTAATGTGGACATAACAAAGAGACAAATAGTTCAAATTATACGAACTCCAAAGCAAACAACCGCAAACACTTCCACTACTACCCGAAATGAAAACTGTCCTTAGACTACTGTCCTTCCACTGCTACCCGAAATGAAAACCTAAGACACCAAGATAATGAAAAAGTAGTTTTTCCTACCATATACTGGTGTTTTTCCTGGCAGTATGACAATAATGAGCTGGAGCCCAGAGTAAGTGTTTTTGAGGTGTCTGAACATTGGCTCCACACTGTCCGCGCCCTGCGCGTATTTACAGAAGCATGGCTGACCCTGAATGGGCATCCCAGCATCCTTTGAAATCTTCCTCAGCTGGTCTGTGAATCCTCTATTAGAAAAAAAACACAATTCGTACAACAGGGTTGTCAAAACATTCTAGGATATATATTACAATACCAGCTAAAAAGCAGAAAGGAAAAACGAGAAATGAATATCATAGCGGTTCGATAAAAATGTCTCTGCTTTCTGTACGCATTAAAGCTGAAGCTTAGTTAAAAGTGTTATTGAACCCAAAACCAAAAATTTAATAAAGTATACCACAGCTTACCAATCACTAGATGTGGTGGCTGCATTAGGTTTTTTTTTAGGCTTTTCCCTTGGTTTTCACCTGGTGATCTGTCTGGTAACACACCTCCTGTATTAGAGTGCCTACACTCTGGATAAAGGAGCACAGGGGCACCTTTGGACAGCAGCATTGTTAGTCTGGGGGGAGGGAAGTGTTAGATGGACTAACAGATTTCGATACACTAAAATTGAAGCTGAACTCCAGCAAATTTATAAGCAGTTAGAGCAGTTTTTTCCTTCTGAGATAAAAGTTTTACATTAAAAAATTGATTATTGCAAACACCTGTCAGTAGTATGTGCTGTTTCAACTTTAACTGGTACAACTACAGGACAGCTCTTTCCTTCACTGAAAAAAGTTCCATCACCAATTACACTGCCTGTAACATAACATGATCTGTGAATGGAGGGAGTATCCCATGACAGATCAGACACTCCCCCATTTATAGATGGTGTTACAAGCAGTGTAATCAGTGAAATAACTAAAGTGGGTGTACAACAATAATTGGTATTGCACAAGTATTTAAGGGGGACTGGGGAAGCTGATCATGTTTTTTTACCTAATGCAGAGAATGAGCCCGAAGACTTGAAGCTATTAACCCCCATAGCACTAGAAGTTCAGTAGCAGGAAGAAGACAGAGCACCCCTGATTCAGAATCAAGCAGCCTGCACATTGTGGCTCATACTTATTTACAGGTAAGTAATTATCTAAAGCTTTTTTAGCTAAACATCAGCTTTCCGTTTTACAGTTCTTTACTTAGGAAGGTTGCACCTTCCCTTTCACTAATAGAAGACCTACACCATGATGAATTTGGTCTTCAAGCATCTACGAATAGATCTATGCGATTACCTGGGTACTTCAGTGTGTTTGCATGCAGGACTGTGCAAGAAAACATGCATTTACACAGTGGTAAACCCACTAGTTAACGCATGAAGCCAAACAGAAACGTGTGGCTACATCTTACAAGTAGTAAAATGACCATATAATGCCTTTGGGCAAATAACTTACTAGTTAACCGCTTCAATACAGGGCACTTTTACCCCCTTCCTGTCCAGGCCATTTTTCAGGTATCAGCGCTCTCACATTTTGAATGACAATTGCACGGTCATACAACATTGTACCCAAACTAAAATGTTATCATTTTCTTCACACAACTAGAGCTTTTTTTTTGGTGGTATTTAATCACCACTGGAGTTTTTATTTTTTGCTAAATTAACAAAAAAAGACCGAAAATTTTGAAGAAAAAAAAAACAAAAAACATGTTTTTCTTTGTTTCTGTTATAAAAATTTGCAAATAAATAATTGTTCTTCATAAATTTAGGCCGAGATGTATTCTGCTACATGTCTTTGGTGAAAATAACCCAAATTAGGATGTATTTTTTAGTTTGTAGGAAAGTTATAGAGTTCACAAACTATGGTATAGATCTGAATATTGATCAATCCTGAAGTACTGACAGCCAATCTAATTTCTTGAGGTCCAAGAATGTCAGAACAGTACAGATATCCCCAAATGACCCCTTTTTGCAAAGTAGACAGTCCGACGTATTTCATAAGAAGCATGGCGAGTTTTTTGAAGTTGTATTTTTTTTGTCATGTTTCGGAAATTTAAAAGATTAAAAAAAATATTTTAACTATTTTCTTTTTACATACTGTCACCAGTGCAGTACAGCGTCATCATATAACTGGCATGGCGGTGATCAGGGACACTGACTGGTGACAGTATGAAAAAAAAATATATATAATTTATTTTTAAATTTCTTTATTATTTTTAATTTTTTATTACATTTTTTACTTTTTTTTAAGATTTTTTTTTTCATATTTCACTATGATCAAAGTAGTATAATGTTACCATAGTAAAATTGTACTACTTTGGGGAAGTGATCAGTATTTTTTTTTTTATTTCACACAATTTGCTTATAGCAAAGAATTACTATGCTATAAGCAAGCATTTACCTGAATGACATCGATTCATTCAGGGTTGTTTTTTTTTTTTTTCATTTTTGTGCTTAGCTGTAATTTGGCCATGCTAATCACATGACACAGCTGGGCTGTGATTGGCCCAGCTTGTGCATGTGATCGCTGTGACCATTCACAGCTAGGCACACTAGTATACAATGGATGGCATGAATGAAGTCATCCATTGTATACAACTGTCATGTGACCTGCTGTGATTGGACACACTAGGTCACATGGTACCGGCAACGGGGCCGGTACTCAGATCTGTGATCGGCCGTGTCCGAGGTACACGGCCGGTGACAGATCGCGTCGCTGCAGGTGTACAAACTGCACATGTGTGAAAGGACGCCATATGGCGTCCACCCGGAAAGGTGAGCGTTTTTGCCGGCCGCCATTCGGCCATAGGCCGGGCGGGAACCCGGTTAAATTATGGAGCATTCACTTAAGAGCAAATATGGAGTCCTTTGTATTATATCCATGCTGTTATGTATAAGTCAATTAAAAAGTGCAATATCCATAATACAGAAATTCTAAGAGGTGATGTGAATAAAGTTGCTCTTGTGGTCTGTTAAGACCCAGGCTGGGTGAGAAGCCTTCTTACTAAGAAACCAGTACCTTGCATAATAAACCAGAACATGAAACATATCCAAAGAAAACCTGCATAGACATTTGCAGTGAGCATCAGATCTCTGTATTTTGAGAGATCTTTTCCATGCTCTCTAATTACAATAAAAGTGGAATTTTACACTCACAAAGATTGTGCAGAAACCTACTCTTAGATTCTCATCTTTGGGGTTTAATGCATTCTACTGCAGTATCCCGATGTATTATGTCATGGTGTATTGGCACACCACATATACAGTAAAAACAAAAGTATCTACGCAATACTGCATCATACAGGTGTGAACTTCCTTTATGCTGCCACAAATAGTGCAGATAAATTTTTTTGTGCATTGAGGCTACATTCAATGTGAAAGGGACTGCATTAATGCAAAACACACAAGCAAAAAGTGTCCTTACACTTATCCAATTCACCTGCTTTTTCATCTAGTTTGAGCATGAAAAGCAACAGCAAACTTTCAGTAAGAAAGGAGCAGAACTAGATGATGGGCTCAAGGGGAGCAAAAGGACAAACTTCTGGAAGGCTACAAAAATACAGTATGCGCTGTAGAAATGGCCATTTTTCTTAATGCCTTAAATTCAATAGATGGAGACTACAGTAAAGTAAGCAAAGCAGATCCAGGGCAATTCCTTGTTATCATTTCAGAGGTGACTGCAGAATAATAGGCAGAAATCCACTTCCAAGCCAACTGAAAGTCACAAATTAACACTTAACCTGTCATTAAAGGGTTTTAAACAGCATATTATAACCACAAATAGGAAACCATTGTCAGAGGAAACATTCTCTACAATGTGATGATCAGCAGGTAATTTCTAAAGCTGGATTTTGAAAATTCTAAACATCTTATATATATTTTACTGCATTGTTTAGGACTTACTTCAAGATTTCTTCCCGGCACTGCCTTTGCGTTGCAAAGCATGCAATGGCCCACATTTTGATCTCCACACCAGTGTGGAATTGTTTTCCCCGCATGTCCCAGACCCCATGACTCGGAGTTGCCACTGTGCGATTCTACAGAACCGGAATGTTTAAAGGGACAAAGAGAAAGAAAAGGAAAATTATCAGACATTTAATGATGGTGCTAGATATTTTTTTCAAGACCTTGCAAACATACTATCTGGCACTTCTTTTGGGTGACATGTATCATGCTATTTGGTTTGCGATTGCAGTGCGATTTGATGCATGACAATCATGGAGGATTCACCCTGCGTTTTTAGGTGCCACTGAAATGAACGGCACCTGAACACACTAATTTGCGATTTGACATTTTAACAGTGTGTTTTGTAATGGAGGGCAGAATCACAGAGATTCCGTCCATGATTCAAAACACCTATATGTGAACGGAGCCTTAACAAAAATCATCTGCACATGTAACTTCAGAGAGTTTCAATAAATAGCAAACATTTAAAACATGACAATTACACATTTTTCATATACCAAGACCACCGGAGAATGACAAAAAAAAAAAAAATCACCTTTAAAGATCTCAACATTCTCTCATACATACAGTTGTGCTCAAAAGCTTGAATACCATGGGGGAATTTACAATATACAGATTGTGCTATTTTAAGGAAAACATGAGTGAGCAGGTAAAACACTTATTTCTTGTGGGATTCATATTCAACTGTAGGTCATAAGAAAATGACAAAATGGCATAATCATTAAACAAAACATGGCAACAAGTAAACAAGTGAAATGACCCCTCTTCAAAAGTCTGCAGTGTTAATGAGGAGGTGAAGACTCAGCTCCTTGCACAGATAGAAAGGGCTGCAAGGGCTGGGACAGTGATAATAATAATGGGGGATTTTAACTACCTGGAAATTGTCTAGAGTAGTGGTACTGCAGGAACAGTTAAAGGGCAAACATTTATAAACCTTCTACAGGACAATTTTTTGGTACAGTCCATAGAGGCCCCAACTAGGAATGATGCTCTGCTCAACCTGGTAATCTCAAACCATACAAAGGTTATTATGAATGTTCATATAAAAAAACATCTGGGTAGCAGTGACCATAACATGACTTCATTTATTGTTAGCAGTAAACATGAAGCACATACGAGAAAAGTAAAAACGCTCAACTTTAAGAGTGCTAATTTTCCAAGGCTGGGAGCTGCACTCCAAGACTTAGACTGGGAGGGAATATTAGCATCGATGAACACAACGCAGAAATGGGAGTTCTTCAAAAAGACTGTATGTGAACACACTGCAAAATATATTCCCATGGGCAACAAGTTTAAAAGGCTAAAAATCAAACCTATGTGGCGTATGGCCAAAGTTAAAAAAGCTATAAATAATAAGAAAAGAGCATTTATTAAATATAAAAATGAAGGAACGCTATCATCGTTTAAACATTACAAAGAATATGACAGAATATGCAAAAAGGAATCAAAGGCCGCAAAAATTTACAACAAACGACATATTGCAAAACATAGCAGGACAAACCCTAAACAATTCTTCAAATATATTAATAGTAAAAAGGTCAGGTCCAAGCATGTAGGCCCTTTACAAAATAATCTAGAGTGGGTGACTGGGGACAAAGAGAAGGCAAATTTATTAAATACCTTCTTCGGCTCTGTGTATACAAAGGAGCATGGGCATGGTATTGACAGCTCCAGATGATCCACATTGGCTCACAATTTATATCATCCAGAAATATTTAGACAGAACAAAGGTGAATAAAGCACCTGGACTGGATCGCATACACCCACGGGTTCTTAATGAATTGAGCTCTGTCATTTCAAAGCCATTGTTTCTAATTTTTAGTGACTCTTTAATGGCTGGCATAGTACCACTGCATTGATGTAAGGCCAATGTGGTGCCTATATTTAAAAAGGGGTCAAAACATTTACCAGGTAATTATAGATCTGTTAGTTTAACTTCTATAGTTGGGAAGATACTGGAGTTTAATAAAATACCACATAGATGAGTTCTTGCTAGAAAAAAAATATTTTAAAGCAACAGAGAGCATGGATTCATGAAAGACAGAAGTTGGCAAACAAATCTGATTTATTTTTATGAGGTGAGCAAAACCTTGGACAGAGGGGTGGTGGTGGACGTGGTATACTTGGATTTTGCAAAAGTGTTTGACACAGTTCCCCACACACGGCTAATGTGTAAGGTAAAGTCTACGGGCTTGGAAAAATCTGTATGTAAATGGATAGAAAACTGGCTAAAAGATCGTATTCAGAGAGTAGTGGCTAATGATTTATACTCTGAATGGTCTAGGGTTGTCAGTGGTGTACCCCAAGGTTCAGTGTTGGGACCGTTACTTTTAAATAGATTTATAAACTATATAGGGTCTGAGATTAAAAATTCCATTTCAGTCTTTGCAGATGACACCAAGCTGTGCTGTGCAATAACGTCCTTAAAGGATGTCTCCAACTTACAAGCCGACCTCAATGCACTGTTTAATTGGGCAACTATGTGGAAAATGAGGTTTAACGTTGATAAATGTAAGGTTATGCACTTGGGGGCTAAGAATATGCATCATACATACTAGGGGGAGTACAACTGGGGAAGGATCTGGGAGTTCCAGTAGATCCGAAGCTTAATAATGGCATGCAATGCCAAGCTGCGGTTTCTAAAGCGAGCAAAATCCTGTCTTGTATTAAAAGAGGTATAGACTCCAGAGAGTGTGATATCATTTTACCCCTGTACAAATCATTTTTAACACCTCATCTGGAATATGCAGTTCAGTTTTGGGCACCAATTCACAAAAAGAATATTGGGGAACTGGAAAGAGTACAGAGAAGGGCAACCAAACTGATACGAGATATGGAGGAGCTCAGCTGTGAAGAAAGATTAGAGGAACTGAATTTATTCCCTCTTGAGAAGAGGAGATTAAGGGGGGATATGATCAACATGTATAATACATAAGGGGGGATATGATCAACATGTATAAATACATCAGTGGTTCATATAGTGAACTTGGTGTAGAGTTATTCTCCTTGAGGTTATCACAGAGGACAAGGGGCACTCTTTACGCCTGGAAGAAAAGAAATGTAATCGCCAAATACGGAAAGGTTTCTTCACAGCAAGAGCTGTGAAAATGTGGAGTAGACTCCGTCAAGAGTTGGTTTTGGCCAGCTCAGTCGATTGCTTTAAAAAAGGTCTGGATTCTTTCTTGGATACACAGAATATAACTGGATACTAACATTTATAGGTAAAGTTGAACCAGGAAATATCCCATTGCCTCTTGGGGGATAAGGAAGGAAATTTTTCCACCGCAGGAGCAAATTGGATCATGCTTTGCTGGGTTTCTTCCCTTTTTCTGGATCAACTGTGGGTATAGGATTATATATTTTTTTTTTTAATGGTTGAACTGGATGGACTTTTGTCTTTTTTCAGCCAAACTAACTATGCATACACTTAGTTCTAAATACTGTGCATCGCCCCCTTTAGCATCAATGACAGAATGCAGTCTTTGTAATAGTTGTCTAAGAGGCCCCGAATTCTTGCAGGTGGTACAGCTGCCTGTTAGTCTTGGCAAAATGCCTCCATGTCATGCAAAGTCTTTTACTGTCTTGCGTAAACCGCATGTTTGAGATCTCCCCAGAGTGGTTCGATGATATTAAGGTCAGTAGACTGTGATGGCCACTGCAAAACCTTCATCTTTTTCTGCTGTAACCACTGGAGGGTTAACTTGGCCTTGTGCTTAGGATCATTGTCATGCTGGAAAGTCCAAGAGCGTCCCATGCAAAGCTTTTGTGCAGAAGAATGCAAATTGTCTGACAGTATTTTCTAATAACATGCTGCATTCATCTTGCCATCAATTTTCACATTATTCCCCATGCTTTTAGAGCTTACACCCAGAAATACCAGTGAGCCACCACCATGCTTCCCCATGGGGATGGTATTCTTGTCACTATAGGCCTTGTTGGCCCCTCTCCAAACATAGCATTTATGGTTGATAAGTACTATTTTGGTTTCGTCATTCCAGATTACAGTGTGCCAGAAGCAGTAAGGCGTGTCAAGGTGTTAGGGCATACTGTAAGGGCTTTTTTTGTGGCATTGGTGTAGTAAAAGCTTTTTTTCTGGCAACTTGACCATGCAGCTCATTTTGTTTTTAGGGTCGTCGTATTGTGCTCCTTGAAACAACACCACCATCTTTTCCATAGCAGCCTGTATTTTTCCTTTTACCTGTGGGTTTTACTTTGTATCCTTAAAAATTCTTCTGGCAGTTGTAGCTGCAAACTTTCTTGGTCTACCTGACCTTGGCTTGGTATCAAGAGATCCCAGAACATTCCACTTCTTAATAGCGATTGAACAGTACTGACTGGCATATTCAAGGCTTTGGATATCTTTTTATATTATTTTCCATCTTTATAAAGCTCCGTTACCTTGTTACGCATATCTGTATATGGGATTTATTCAAGAGATTCTTTAATAAGGCAGTGCTATATCGGGCATAAATGTTTTCTACATACCCTCCCCCCGTACTGTAACATTGGCGCTGGAAGTACTCTTCCCGTCACATGAGCCATTTCATCTCGAACCTTAAACTGGAATTCTTGAACAAAGGGATCTGCATCATAATTTGCACTTCTAACCTGAAATGTATAAAAAGATTTGGGTAACATCTACATTTAAACATGAAAAACCATAAACACTATCCACTCTAATAGTTATACATTTTTGAGATACAAAACCAGGTGGCTAATCACTGCCAATACACACGAATACACTGCACAATGATCAGGACCTTAACTAAAGCCTAGTACAACTTAGGATCTTGCCAGTAGGTCTCTGTACTAATGATGCACTTTTAGTACACCGATCTATTGACTGCTTGCTCCCCATCCCCACCTCCATTAGTGCAGGTATCATTATTATTATTACTACATGTATTTATCATGCCAACAACAACAACAGAGCTTTACATACTGTACATTTCATACTAGTCCCTGGCCTCAAGCAGCTTGCAATAAAGTCGCTATCACACATACAGACTAGGGTCAATTTAGACAGATGCCAAATAAAGCAGTTGCAAATGCAATTTTTCTTTTGCCGGTGATGTCCACGTCTTGCGTGTGTGTGGCCCCATAGCAAGCTGTGTGCTATGAGGGCATCAGTGCGGGCACACTCCTGAGCTGGGCTGTGTGCATTGTCCATAGACACACACAGCGTGGTGAGGCTTAGAGCCGCCCCCTCTTGCTCCCCATGGGATTTGACTGACAGCAGCAGGAGGCAATGGATGCCGCTGCTACTAGTCTGTCCTCTGAGGGTGGGTGAAAGCCCAGCTCTGCTGCAGACGGGTAAAGAGCTGGACTGAAGAAGACTCAGATAAGTAGGGGTTGGAGAACCACCTTAAGCTACCAACATGTGTTTGAAGTGTGGGAGAAGAACAGAATATCTGGCAAAAACCCACACAAGCACACAGAGTCCTAAAGAAAGGCAGAGGTGCTAACTAAGGCACTGTGCTGTTTCTCATTACAATTACTGGGTGTCAGTAAAGGCTATGTTTTTGAGAGCTAACCCCCACAAGAAGTCTTGCACTCATTGCATTACAGAGTTTGACATGTGAATTACAGAAAGATTTACAGAATCTGAGCATTTTCTTTCTTATTTCAGACATGTTTCAGCTATGCTATACTACACAGATATGATATACAATTTTTCATCTCCTGTATGCAAATGTATGAACTTAAAAGTCACTTACACCCCATAATGTTTATTTTCTCTATAGAAAGGTAGTTTTTCTGGAAAAGATTTGAGGTTATGTAATGCAGGCAGTTTAAAGGCAAAACAGTAGTCTCTTTAAAAAAAAATACAGCTGCTAGCAGATATAAAACTTTGAGCAACCTAGGAAGTGCCTGCAACAGTTTTCGCATATCTAATGACAGCCACTTGGTGCAAAGACAGATATAAGCTCCTATCGGTCATTGCACCAAGTTACTGTCATTAGATATGCGAATTGTCATCACGTTTGTGAGTATGTTTTGATTAGAGATGAGCGAATTATTCAAAAATTCGATTCGGCTGATTCGCCGAATTTGCGGAATAAATTTGATTCGATGCGAATTTATTCGCTGAGAATTTAACTTATTAAAAGGGTTTGTAGGCTTCAGAGAGCCTTTATATTAGTGCAGAACACTGTACCTTTAATTTAAATGCCCTTGGAGTCTGCTGGGGAAGAGAAATAATACTGACAGTCAGTATGACATGCAGATGAGTGCCGTCGATCTTAGAATCACCGCACACTTCACTCATTTGGGCAGTCACGGGGCCAAAACCAGAGTGTGGAGCCACGCATGAGGAGGCGGTACAGGGGCCCATGGCAGAGTGGCGAAGCGTAAGCAGCTTAAATTGAAGGCCATACAGAGGCCTATGTTAAAAAGTCCCCCCAGCAGCAGTGTGGGGAGACGACTATCAAGAGTCCAATGGCAGAGTGGCGGAGCAGAAGCAGCTTCAATTGAAGAAGAGGATGAGGATGAAGAAGAGGATAAGGAAGAAGAAGAAGAAGAAGAAGAAGAAGAAGGGATGAGGGATGAAGAAGAGGATGAGGATGAAGAAGAAGAAGAAGAAGAAGAGGATGAGGGTGAAGAAGAAGAAGAAGAAGAGGATGAAGAAGAGGATGAGGATGAAGAAGAAGAAGAAGGGAGGATGAGGATGAAGAAGAAGAAGAAGAAGAAGAGGATGAGGAAGAAGAAGAGGAAGAGGATGAGGGAAGAAGAAAAGGATGAGGAAGAAGAGGAAGAAGAGGAAAGAAGAGGAAGAAGAGGGAAGAAGAAGAGGAAGAGGAAGAGGAGGAAGAGGAGGAAGAGGAGGAAGAGGAAGGAAGAGGAAGAAGAGGAAGAAGAGGAAGAAGAGGAAGAAGAGGAAGAAGAGGAAGAAGAGGGAAGAAAGAGGAAGAAGGAAGAGGAAGAAGAAGAAGAAGAAGAGGAAGAAGAAGAGGAGAGAGGAAGAAGAAGAAGAAGAGGAAGAAGAAGAAGAAGAGGAAGAAGAAGGGAAGAAGAAGAAGAAGAGGGAAGAAGAGGAAGAAGAGGAAGAAGAGGAAGAAGAAGAAGAAGAGGAAGAAGTGGAGGAAGAAGAGGAAGAAGAAGAGGAAGAAGAAGAGGATGGGTTGAGGGGGGAAGAAGAGGAAGAGGAAGAAGAGGAAGAGGAAGAAGAGGAGGAAGAGGAAGAAGAGGAGGAAGATTGAGGAAGAGAGGAAGAGGAAGAGGAGGAAGATGGAAGAGGAGAAGAGGAAGAGGGAAGAAGAGGAAGAGGAAGAAGAGGAAGAGGAAGAAGAGGAAGAGGAAGAAGAGGAAGAGGAAGAAGAAGAGGAAGGAATAAGAGGAAGAAGAAGAGGAGGAAGAAGAAGAGGAAGAGGAGGAAGAGGAGGAAGAAGAGGATGAGGAAGAAGAAGAAGATGAGGATGAGGAAGAAGAAGAGGAAGAAGAAGAAGAAGAGGATGAGGATGATGAAGAAGAGGGATGAGGAAGAAGAAGAAGAAGAAGGATGAAGAAGAAGAAGAGGAAGAAGAAGAAGAGGATGAGGATGAGGAAGAAGAAGAGGAAGAAGAAGAAGAAGAAGGAGGATGAGGATGAAGAAGAAGAAGAAGAAGAAGAAGAAGAAGAGGATGAGGGGAAGAGAAGAAGAAGAAGAAGAAGAAGAAAGAAGAAGAGGATGAGGAAGATGAGGATGAGGTGAAGAGAAGAAGGGAGGGAGTTGAAGAAGAAGAGGAAGAAGAGGATGAGGAATGAAGAAGAAGAGGATGAAGAAGAAGAAGAGGATGAGGATGGGATGAAGAGGGATGAAGAAGAAGAATAGGATGAGGATGAAGAAGAAGAGGATGAGGGGGGAAGGAGGATGAGGATGAAGGGTGAGGAAGAAAGGATGAAAAAAGGGGGGGGGGGGGGAGGGGAAGAGATGAGGATGAGGGAAGGGGGGGGATGGGGGATGAGGAAGAGGAAGGAGGATGGGGAAGAAGAAGAGGATGAGGAGGGGGAAGGGGAAGGGGGAGGGAAGAAGACTGGATGGGAAGGGGAGAGGGGGGAAGAGGATGGGGAAGAGGAAGAAAGGGGGAAAGGTTGGGGATGAAGAAGAAGGAGGGGGGAATGAGTTTGAGGAAGAAGGGATGAGGAATGGGGATGAAGAAGAAGGGGGATGGGATGAGGGAGAAAGAGGGGGAGGTGAGGAAGTGGAGGGGAGGGAGGGGAAGACGAAGGGGGGAGGAGGATGGGGAAGAGGATGAGGAGGAGAAGAGGGGAGGGGGAGTATTTGAAGAGGAGGGGGGGAAGGGAGGGAAGGGGAGGGGGATGGGAGAAGAAGAGGGGAGAAGAAGATGGGGGGGAAGGGGAAGAAGAAGAGGAAGGGAGGAAAGGAGGGGAGGGGTGGGGAAAGAGGGGGGGAAGAAGAGGAGAAGAGGAAGAGAGAGGGGGAAGAAGGGGGAGAAGGGGGAAGGAAGGGTGATGAGGGGAGGAAGGGGGGGGGAAGAGGATGAAGGGGAGGTCGGGGGAAGAGGAGAAAGAAGAGGGAGGGGGAGGGGGGATGGGGGAAGGGAGAGGGGAGGGGCGGAATGAGGATGAGGGTGGGGGGAGGGAAGAGGATGAAGAGGAAGGGGGGAGAGAGGAAGAGGATGAGGAAGGAAGGGGAGGAGGAAAGAAGAAAAGGGGGGGAGGGGGGAGACCGGTGGAGAAAAGGGGGGGAGGGAGGAAGTGGGGGGGAGGGGAGAAGTGGGTTGGGGGAGGGGGGAGGGAGGATGGGGAGGAGGGAAGGTGAGGGGGGAAGGGGGGAAGAAGAAGGGGAAGGGAAGGGGGGGGAAGAAGAAGAGGGGGGGGAAGGAAGGGGGGGGGGGGAATTGGGAGAAGATGAAGGAAAGGGGAGGGGGGGGGGGGAAGAGGGGAAGGGAGGGGGTGGAGAAGGTGGAGGGGGAGAAGGAGAGTGGGGGGGGCTGGGGGTAGGAGAGATAGGGGGGGGGGAAAGAGGACCGGGGGGGGAAGGTGGGAGGGGGAGGAAAGAAGAAGAAGGGGAGAGGGGAAAGGGAGGGGGATGGGGAGGGGTGGGGAGAAGAATGGAAGGGGGGGGGAAGAAGAAAGGGGGAAGAGAAGAAGAGGGGGGAAGAGAAGGGATGGAGGATGGGGGGGGGGGGAGGAGAGGGGGGATGGAGATGAAGGGGGGGATATGAGAAGGGGGAGGAAGATTGGGGGGGGGGGGGAAGGGGTAGGAGGGAAGGATGGGGGGATAGAAGAGAGGATTTGGGTGAGAATGGGAGGGGGGGAGGAATTGAGTGAAGGGGGAGGAAGGGAAGAGGAAGGGAAGGAGGGAGAAGGAGAAGGAAGAAGAAGAGGAAGGGGAAGGGGTGGAAGAAGAGGAGGGAAGGAGAGGAATTGGGGGGAGAGGAGGAGAGGGAGGGGAAGGGGAAGGAGGGAAGGGGAGAAAGAGGGGAGGAAAGGGGTGGAAGAGGAAGGAAGAGGAAGGGGAAGGGAAGGGAGGAAGGAAGGGAGGAGGCGGAGGAAGGAGGAAGGAAGGGTGAGGGAGGGGGGGAAGAGGGGAGTTGGGGGGGAGGTTTAGGTGAAGAGGATTTTGAAGAGGAAGAGAGAAGGGAGGGGAGGGGGAAGGGTGAGTGGGGGAAGGGGGAAGGAGGAGGGGGGAGGTTGGGGGAGGTGGGGGAAAGGAAGTGGGAGGGGAGGGGGAGAGTTGTAGAGGAAAGGAAGGGGGGGAGTGGGTAAGGATGGGAGGGGGGAGTGGTGAGGATAGGGAGGTGGGGGGAAGGGGAGGGGTGGAGGGAAGAGGGAAGGGGAAGGGGAAGGAGGGGGGGTGAGGGGGGGAGGGGGGGGGAGGAAGGAGGCGAGGGGGGGAGGGAGGGGTGCGATGGAAGAGGGGGGGGAGGGGGGGGAGAGTGGGAGGGAAGAAGAGGGGGGAGGAAGAAGACGGAGAGGAGAAGGGGGGGGATGGGGAAGGAAGGGGGAAGGGAGGAGCGGGGGAAGAGGAAGAAGGAGGAGGGATGAGATAGGGAGGAGAGGTGGATAGGGGAGGGGATGAGGAAGAAGGGTTGGAGGTGGAGGTGGGGGTTGGGGTGGGTTGCGATGGGAGAAGAAGGGGGAGGGATGGGGAGGGGGAAATTAGTATTTGGCAGGGGAGGGGGGGGGGAAGAGGGGGTGAAGGAGAAGGGAGGGGAGGATGGGGGGGGGAGGATGAGGTGGGGGGGAGTGTTGGGGGATGGGTGAAGAAGGGGGGGGAGAAGGGGGAGGAAGGGGGGGGGAAGAGGTGGGGGGAAGAGGGAGGGAGTGAAGAATTGGGGGGAAGGGGGGGGGGGGGGGGAGGAGGGGGGGGGAGGATGGGGAATTGGGGAAGGGGAAGGGGGGGGGGGGAGAGGGGGGGGGGGGGGGGGAAGAAGGGGAAGAGGGAGGGGGGGAAGGGGGGAGGATGAGGGGGGGTTGAGGGTGAGGGGAAGAGAAAGGGTGGGATGAGGGGAGAGGAGGAAGGGAGGGAGGATGGGGGGGGGGGGGGGGGAAAGAGAGTGGGAGAGGAGGGGAGGGGGAAGAGGATGAGGATGGGGGGAAGAGGATGGGGGGGGGGAGGGGAGGATGATGGGAGGGGAAGGGGAGGAGGGGATGAAGAGGGAAGAGGAGAGGGGAAGAGGGGGGGATGGAGGAAGAAGAAGAGGGGTGAAGTGGGGGAGAGGGAGAAGAGGGGAGGGGGAGGGAGGAGGATGGAGGGGGAGGATGAAGAAGAAGGGGGGGGGAGGGAGGGGGGGGGGAGGATGAGAAGGAAGAAGGGAGGGGGGGTAGGAAGATGGGAGGGATAGGGAAGAAGATGGGGGAATGAGGAAGAAGAAGAAGGGAGGGGGGAAGAAGAGAGGGGGGGGGGATGAGGGGAAAAGAAGAGGGAAGGGGAGGGAAGGGAGGGGGAGGAGATGAGGGAGGTGGGGGAGGGGAAAAGGGGAGAGGGATGAGGAGAAAAGGAGGGAAGGATGGGGGGAAGAAGAAGGGGGAGGATGGAAGGAAGAGAAGAAGGAAGGGAAGAAGAAGGGGGGGGGGGGAGGAGAGTGGGAAGGGGGGGGGAGGGAAGAGGAGGGGGGAGGGGGGAAGAAGAGGGGGGGGGAAGAAGGAGGAGGAAGAGAAGAGGAGGGAAGAGGAAGAAGAAGGGGGGAGGGGGGGGGAAGGGGAAGGGGGGGGGGGGGGGAGGGGGAAGAGGGGGAAAGGAAGGGGGAAGGAGAGAGGGGGAAGGGGGGGGAAGGGGGGAGATGAGGATGGAGGGGGGGGAAGGGAAGGGGGGGGATGAGGGAAGAGGGGGGGGGATAGGAGGGGGGGGGGGGAAGGGGGGGGGGATGGGGGGGAAGATGGGGGAGGGGGGGAAGGGGAAGAAGGGGGAGGAGAGAAGGGTGGGGATGAGAAGAATGGGGATAAAGGGGGTGAGGGGGGGATGAAGAAGAGTGAGGGAAGAAGAAGAAGAGGGGGAGGATGGGAAGAGGAAGAAGGAGAAGATGAGAAGAAGAGGGGGAGGGGATGGGGAAGAAGAGGAGGGGGAAGGGGGGGGTGGGGGGGGGGGGAAGAGGGGGGGGGAAGGGGGAGGGATGAGAGGGGGGGATGGGGAAGAGGATGGGGAAGAAGGGGAGGATGGGAAGGGGGAGGAGAGAGGGGAGGGGGGGGGAATGAAGAAGAGGTGAGAGAGAAGAAGGATGGTGGGGGGAAGAAGAGAGAAGGAAGAGGAGAGGATGGAAGAAGGGGGGGGGGGGGGAGAAGAAGGAGGGGGAGAAGGATGGAGGGGGGGGGGAGGGAAGAGGGAGGGGATGAGGAGGGAGGGAGGGAGGGGGGAAGGGGGGGGGGGGGGGAAGAAGAAGAGGATGGGGATGAAGGGGGGATGGGGGAGGAGGGATGAGGGGGAGGGGAGGGGGGGTGGGGGGATGAGGGGTCGGGGATGGGAAGGGGAAGGAAGTGGGGATGGGGGAAGAAGAGGATGAGGATGAAAAGGAGGATGGGGGGGGGAGAAGAAGAGGGATGGGAGGTGGGGGGGAAGAAGGAGGATGGGGGGATGGGGGGGAAGGGAAGGAAGAGGAAGAAGAGGATGGGAAGGGGGAAGAGGATGGGGATGAGGGGGAAAGGGGGGGGGGGGATGAGGGATGGGGAGGGGGAAGGGGGAGGGAAGGGGGGATGGGAAGGGATGTGGAAAGGGATGAGGGAAGATGAGGGAGGGGAGGGGGAAGGGGGAGGGATGAAGAAGGAAGAGATGAAGGGGAGAGAGGGGAGGGAAGATGGGGGGAGGAGGGAAAGGGAAGGGGGAGGATGGATGGAAGGAGGGGGGGGGGTGGGAAGAGGGTTGGGAGAGATGAGGAGAAGAAGAAGAGGGGGGGATGAGGATGAAGGAAAGGAGAGGGGGGGGGGGGATGAAGGGGGGGGGGAGGGGGGAGAGGGGGGGGATGAGGGGGGGGAAGGAAGAGGGGAGGGAGGAAGAAGAAGTGGGATGAAGAAGAAGAAGGAGGATGAAGAAGAAGGGAGGAAGGGGGGATGGGGATGGGGATGAAGGGGGGAGGGGAGGGAGGAAGAAGAAGAAGAGATTGGATGAGGATGAAGAAGAAGAAGAGGATGAGGATAGGCGGAAGAAAGGGGATGAGAAGAAGAGGATGAGGATGATGAAGAAGAAGAGGATGAGGATGAGGAAGAAGAAGAAGATGAGCATGGAGGAAGAAGAAGAAGAAGGGATGGAAGGAGGAGGAGGATGAGGAAGAAGAAGGGGATGAGGATGGGGAAGAAGAGGATGATGGTGAGGAAGAAGAAGAAGAAGAAGAGGATGAGGATGAAGAAGAAGAGGATGAGGATGAAGAAGAAGAGGATGAGGATGAAAGAAGAAGAGAATGAGGATGAAGAAGAAGAGAATGAGGATGAAGAAGAGAATGAGGATGAAGAAGAGAGAGAGGATGAGGATGAAGAAGAAGAGGATGAGGATGAAGAAGAAGAAGAAGAAGAAGAAGAGGATGAGGATGAAGAAGAAGAAGAAGGATGAGGATGAAGAAGAAGAAGTAGGATAAGAATTCCAGTACAGCAAAAAAGTGTATCTGCAGAGAGCTCCGCTATTTCTGACAGTTCTCTGACAGTTCCTTCACATTTACAGCGGTTGAAACATTGTATCTATTTGTTTCCGAATAAAAACATCTGTATCCTAAATGGAAACAAATAGATACAATGTTTCAACCGCTGTAAATGTGAAGGAACTGTCAGAGAACTGTCAGAAATAGCGGAGCTCTCTGCAGGGACACTTTTTGCCGGCTGTAGAAGGGATGAAAATCGGCCGATCGGGGAAAATTCGATTCGTGCATCCGAAGTATGCTAATTTTCGGATTCGGCTGCGAATCTAATTTTTCCTAATATTCGAACGAATTCCACTTCGCCAAGTTCGATTCGCTCATCTCTAGTTTTGATCTATAATATAATAAATCTTTTTGGGATAATGGGCTAGGCCAGTGCGCTCTTGCTTTGTCTTTTTTGCAATAGGAATGTGTGCCAGGCAGCAGGGAACGGGCAAGCTCCAACACTACTAGAGGGTGTTGTAGTTTTCCTGATCAGTATATGGCTGCCATTCAGACATACAGGGGGAAATGAATATTGCTGCAGACTCATCTAACCTTTATAACTGTATGCAGCTTTATTCTTCAAGTGGCAGTTAGTTTTTTTTTTTTTTGACAGGATGAGAAAAATAGTAATATTGCCAGATAAATCTGCAGTATATTTTTTTAAATTAAAAAGCACAGAACAAAATGTAAAACTAAAAATGGACCCAAAACCATTATACCATTAACCAACTCCTTTCAGCTGTTCAAATTTTAACAACTCACCAATCTACTGATCTCCTCCTGTCTGTCTGGGGCAGACCGAGCTGTTGCTTTGATCATTGTGGATGTCTGATTGTCAGTCAGCTTCTTAATACATCGTTGGCCAGCTACAATGTTACAGACCTAGGAACACACAACAGAAATATACTTACTTGATCGAGTGATAAAGCAACAGGTACTGCAAATTGAAAATGCATTTTATTATGTTGTTGTAAGAAATGACCGCTAGAGTTAAGTGTTCATTTTGTAAGCTGCCTCAACCAGTGGTAGAAAATATATACTTTCCTTTTGCCTTTGGCAAGACAAAGCATCAAAGTCTTTAACATTTTATAATATGCTGGTTAATGTTGCTTAGGTGCCTTACTGGGGCACCTGCATCAGGACCCTTCAAACTGGAGTTTTCAAATAGGCAACAGGAAAAAAAAACAAACAAAAAAAAAACAAAATCAGATTTTTGATTTACCAGTAAAATACATTTCCTGGAGTACTGTACAGGACACAAGCTTCTTAAAGTCATTACAACTGGGTAATATGCAGCCACATTCAGATGGCTGGACACTGGCAAAAAGGAAAGGCTGAAGGGACACCCTTCTCTAAACCTCTTGCCACTACCAGCTAGCCTCAGTTTTTGTAGCAAGCAATAGGGAGATCATAAGACCGGAGCAGAAAGCCTATGATGCACTTACAGATCTGGTAGAGTGTGCCTTTCCAAGGAAGGGATGAATACTAATCATTCAGACTATAGGCCTTAACGATAACATTGATCCACCTAGCAGTGGAGCAAGGGGCAGAGAGGCCCTTATGGGAACAGTCAGGAAGTACGACAAGGGAATATGACTCTCACAGACCATACCACATATCTCTAATAAGTGTAAGTGGTGGCTTCTGAAGAGCTGAGAGAACAAAAGATAAGATTCCAAGGGAAAGAACAAGGGGAGAGATGTGACCTAATCCCTGAACAAAGGCCAAAAATGTCTGAAACTGAAAAGCCTGGATTTGTTCCCTAACTGTGCTCAAGGTCAAATGTTGGTCCAGAACAGACAGGAGGAAGGACAGAATACATACCAGAGTATTTTCTAGGATGAAAGTTCCTCACTTTGCATCAAGCAAGTTAGACTTTATGAAAAGTTAACTGCCTTCAAGAGGGTAGGATTGGCTGGCTCCAAAAAACCCTAGTTCCTCAGGACCATGGCTTCAACAGCAATTCTGTTAAAGCCAGCAGCTATTAAGCAAAATGGAATGCTGGCCAGTGGAACTGTATTTCCGAATGCTATGGAATGGCCAACAAAGTATCTGCCAGGAGCTTAAGTATGTCTACTACTTTCCTTCTGGGCCATTTACAGTTGTGTTCAAAATAATAGCAGTGTGTTGAAAAAAGTGAATAAAGCTCAAAATCCTTCTAATAGCTTTTATTTCCATACACACAAATGCATTGGGAACACTACACATTCTATTCCAAATCAAAACATGAAGAAAAATTTATCAAATTTGTGTTGTTCCTCTAAAAAAATTGAAGAAAAGTGAATATTAGACTGTTCAAAAAAAAGCAGTGTTTGTATTCTTCTTTACAAACTCAAACATTCACTATATAAACTGAAAAATGTTTGAAGATTTTGATTTTCTTTGAATCACTTAATATTTAATTGTATAACCACTGTTACTGAGAACTGCTGTACATCTGTGTTGCATGGAGTCAACCAACTTCTGGCACCTGTGAACAGGTATTCCAGCCCAGGATGATTGGACTACATTCCACAGTTCTTCTCGATTTCTTGGTTTTGCGTCAGAAACTGCATTTTTGATGTCACCCCACAAGTTTTCTATTGGATTAAAATCTGTGGGTTGGGCTAGTCACTCAATAACGTCAATCTTGTTGGTCTGGAACCAAGATATTGCACGTTCACTGGTGTGTTTGGTGTCGTTGTCTTGTTGGAACACCCATTTCAAGGGCATTTCCTCTTCTGCATAAGGCAGCATGACCTCTTCAATTATTCTGATGTATTCAAAGTGATCCATGATCCCTGGTATGCGATAAATAGGCCCAACACGGTAGTATGAGAAACATCCCCATATCATGATGCTTGCGCAACCATGCTTCACTGTCTTCACAGTGTACTGTGGCTTGAATTCAGTGTTTGGGGGTTGTCTGACAAACTGTCTCCGGCCACTAGACCCAAAAAGAACAATCTTACTTTCATCAGTCCACAAAATGTTGCGCCATTTCTCTTTAGGCCAGTCAATGTGCTCTTTGGAAAATTGTAACCTCTTCAGCACGTCTTTTTTTCAACAGTGGGACTTTGCGGGGGCTTCTTGCAGATAGCTTGGCTTCACATAGGCGTCTTCTAATTGTAACAGTACTCACAGGTAACTTTAGACCTTCTTTGATCTTCCTGGAGCTGATTGTTGGCCGAGTCCTTGCCATTTTGGCTATTCTTCTATCCATTCGAATGGTAGTTTTTCGCTTTCTTCCATGTCTTTCAGGTTTTGGTTGCCATTTTAAAGCATTTGCGATCATTTTAGCTGAGCAGCCTATCATTTTCTGCACTTCTTTATATGTTTTCTCCTCTCCAATCAACTTTTTAATCAAGGTACGCTGTTCTTCTGAACAATGTTTGGAACGACCCATTTTCCTCAGAATTTCAGAGAGAAATGCACTGTAACCAGCATGTACAACATTTGCTGCCTTCCTTCCTTAAATAAGGGCAATAATTGCCACCTGTTTTTCAAAAATGAATGACCTCACTAATAGAACTCCACACTGCTATTATTTTGAACATGCCCCTTTCAATTAGTGATTTAATTACACAGAATCTGCAGCTTGCATGTCATGACTGTTGGGTCTGTTGGATTTCTATTACTCTACTACACCCGCTAGTAAATTATTTGCCATGTAGAAATATCATTTCTACCAAAAACAGTGATTGATCAGGTTAGTGATGTCTGACTGCTATTATTTTGAACACAACTGTATGTGCGAGAAGGATCACTGGAATGCCTTCCTTCCAGATCCTGTGGAATAGGTAAGGAATCTAAAGGGGGGTGTAGATCAGGTTTACCTAATCCCATGATGTCAAAGCATCCACTATGAAGATCCTAAGTGAAAAGCCTGTCCAGTTTGCTGTTGAATCTGAGTGCCAGGATGTCCATATCTGGTGTCCCCTACCTATGGTAAAGGGCTTGAAAGACCTCTGGATGCATACCTATTCCCATAAATCCAGACACTGACGACTGAGAAAGTCTGCCTTCCAATCTTCCATGCCAGGGAAAACAGGGCTAAAGTGCAAAATTTTGTCCAAAAGAACATCAAACCTGCAATTGACAGAACAGTTCAACATTTGATTTTCCCCCGATGATTGATGTAGACCACAGCCGTGGCATTACCAACTCGATTCTTGTTGGGTGTATCCGTCAACCAAGTCCTCTATAATGACAGGATGTTTAGGACCTCTAAATGATTTCTTCTCAAGATTTACTTACCCAAAGAGGGACCAAACAAGCATTTGCTTTTAGGCTAACTGCTCAAGGTGTTTCTGCTGACCAGCATTAAAGCCAGAGAATCCTGCACATGTGTACAATAAGTTTTATTCTGGAAATTTGGTGAAGTCTAAGCCATTCATGCAGTAGGTTAAAGCTGAAGGCAAAAATGGCCAGCTGACTATGGAGAAAGGGATCAATCAGGATGGAGCTTGGATTTTGAGCCATACACTCAGTATAGACCGTAATGGTCTGACAGGATGCTATGTACATAACTGCAGGTTACATGGCAGGACCAGGAGGTAAAGACAGGGGGGCCTTTTTATCTACTAGGTCCTTGAACACAGGATTTTACTCCACCAGGTCATGAGGCTCCTGTAAAGGTAGGAAACAAATGGATTCAAAACAAGAATCACCCACTTTCTAAAGATACTTTCCACAATAAGGTGAAAAGTTTGAGGAGAGGAAAAAAAAAGGGTGAGGCTAGTTGCTCTACAGAACAGACTCAACCAACACGTTAAACCAGAAAAAGAATTTTAGAGACAGTATACTGGATTTATTTTGGATGAGCAGCTCCAATGCTGAACAGCTTCAATAAGCATAACAATAATCTTTAAATATTGGAGCAATGTCTTCAGTATCTTCCTGAATTGACACCTCAGAAGGTGAGAGGTCTTCCTCAGCTGACGCTAACTTTTCTTACATTGTGTCTGGCTCAAGGTCAAAGTTGAAGTGATGTAGGAGGGGAGAGTATGGCCATGACTCCTGCTGTCTAGTGCCTCAACAAGGCCAGAAATTCTGTCCCTGATCTCCAACGGTGTGGCAGATAAATTCTTTCTAGAAAGGAAAGATGAGACTGGCATGGCCAATCGGCCAGCTGAATTACCAGAAGAAAGCAGTGAGTCAGAATGGGACAACTATCAGAGTAAAGGTTACTAGGGCACTGAACAAAATGTACTACCTCAAGCCTGAAGCCTTAGTGAGCCCATCTGATCTCCTATTTCTGGCGTTTATGGTCTGCCATGCCCCTGAACAAAAAGGTCTCTGATGAGATACACACAACCTCCTTAGCAGGAAAGGGAATAACGCAGTGCAAACACCGGTAGGCTGTTGTAATCAAGAGTCTGCAAATTCTGTAAACCGCTAAAAATATCCTCAAACAGGAGAACTAGGAAATGTTTACTGGTCAGCATCCCAAGTCCAAAGAAGAAAAGACAGGCCAGGCAAGCACAGAAACCTCCCTCAGGAAATGAAAGGACAGAAGGTGCTTCAGGCCATGCATGTACACTGCACACTCTCAGGGATGTACACTGCACACTCTGGATCATGCCACACCAGGCACCCTCCAGCATGACAAAAGACACTAAACCACCATTAACCTCAGCCAACCTGGAACTCACACCACCAGAAGGGTGGATAGTGTATACCACACTTAAAAAGGAGGAGAAAAACACTGGGCTTCCTGGGATGAATGTTTAAAGGACTCCTGCCCTGTACACACCCCTTCTGCATTCTGAGATGTAGGAGAGATATAACCTGTGATGGACCTCCTAGCACCCCGCTTGGGTGCTTCCATCAGAGAACTGCTTCCTCGCTCCTGGGACACAAGGCCAAGGTATTATAGCTGGGCATTGCACCCAAGAACTAGA